TCTCGCTCTCAATAAAAATACTTAAAAAAATGGACACAGAACTCAGCAAACAGAAACCTCTCAGTTAATCCTATGTTAATTGGAACTCTACTGTATGCAGGACACCATAAACCCTAAATACACTCAGGAAACTGATATCTAGTCGGGGCCTGCGGATCTGGACTTGTCTCTGAAGTAGACTGGAGTAAGTAGAACGGAAGTACAGATACAGTGCTGTGAGATACACAGTGCAGCCACCTTTGATTTGAGAATTTAGGTCAGGCTTTCTTAAGACTGTGGGAATGAGGATTAAGTCGATAGACGTGACCAAAAAGGGCTTTCCAGACGAAGTGAGCAACATACATAAAGACACTTGCTTTTCTTTTTATTTGTGGTGTACAACTGCTTACTCATAGTATAGTGTCCCCCCTTCATTTCTCTTGGGACCTGCAGAGAGAACCAGATGTAGAGGAAAGGAGCTCCATAATGAGAAATGCAGTTGAAACACATTTGTCCCATGAATGTGCCTTCTCCCACTCCTTGTTCTTTAGATGTGCTGCAGTCCTGTTTCGCTGTAACCCAAAGGAAAAAATGTCCATCAATAAGAATTACAGGAAACCAAAATTAGTTGCAGTCATAGTAGGAGAATAATCAAGTTAGCTTACATTATAGTACAGTGGCTGCCAACTTCTGTAGAAAAAGCCAGAAAATATAAAATCTACTGCGTTCTTTTTAAATATGCAGCACGAATGAGGAGAATGAATTGAGAGAAACAAGTAAGTTTGTAATAAATTATACTAAAACTTGTTTATTAATTTATTCATGTAAAATTTACTGAACATTTAGTTGAGACTTCTGGGAGCCAGCAAAGCTATTTTTATATTTTCACATTATTCTTTACAGATGTTTAGATTAACCAGATAACCTTAAATAGGTGATTTTAGATAGCTGCTGTAGTATTAAGTTCTGCGTGTACAAGATCTTTTTATGCACCACCTTCTCAATCTTATAAGTGTTTTCTTGACAATACCATTTCTAACACTGCTCAAAACACACACTAAGTTTTCTAATGGCAATTTGTTTCATTTAGTCCCATTTTAGTGTTCCTTTAAAAATTTTAACTGACGACTCTGGAAATTCAGCCAAGAACGTTGTATCAAAAACTTGCTTGAATTTGTCTAGAAATTCATAGTCAGTGCTGAACCTGAACTTATTTGCCCAAAGCAACACAGTCCCTGGCTGGCAGAGGTGCGCCATGGTGGAGAGCAGCTTGTCCAGGCAGTAGTGGTGGTAGACCACATCGGAGGCCAGAACGTAGTCATAATAGAAAGTCGACTTGGGGAAGTTCTGTTCCAGGCCTTCTCCCCACACCAGCTCTTTCACTTCAGGCAGATGTGCTGTGTGTGCTAGTGTATTCTTTAAAAGGTTGTGTTGAAGGTTTCCTAGGACATCAGGCAAATCCGTGGCGGTGACTTGAGCTCCTAAGAGAGAAAGAGGAAAAATGTAATAATTACTTGGAATCTTTTGGGCATTCAGAGTGGACATATACTCTCAGGGAGAAAGAAGAGAACTAGGACTGGGCTTCTCAACCTTGGCCCTATTGACATATGGGCCGGACATATTTGACATAATTCCACTGGATAATTCTTTTGGGGGTGGGGCTGCCCTGTACGTTGTAAGATGTTTGGGTGTGTCTCTGTTACTGATCCAACAGATGACAGTAGCACTTCCCCACCCATCCCCAAGTTGTGACAATCAAAAATGTCTTCCGACATTGCCAAATGTCCCTCGTGGGACAGAAATCACCTTTGGTTAGGAACCATCTTTTAAGAAACTTTAAGTTAAGCAATGGTGCAATGTTAAGAGATTTCAGGATAATTCACTAAACATATTACTGTTTTCAGCAGCTGCTTAATATAGTAATTCATAATTTTCCCTCTAAAAATACATTCATCTGATGATTTTTCTTTTTCTCTTACATGAAGTATTCAGCACCCAGTTTTCTTTCCACAAAGGGTAATCTATTTTGTCTGATTCTCACCCTTATCTAAATTAATTAAATTAATTCTTAGGCATTTTAAAGCTAGTGACAATGGCTCACAAAATAGATCACCATATTTCCAGATTAGTTTTAAAGAAAGAACTATGATAATGTAGGCAGAAGTAGCCAGATTAGTACCACCTCTTGCCCAGTGCCCAGGAACTCACAACCTACATTTTGGGTATAA